GATTTAAGTTGTTTTTTCCTGAATGGGAACCATTTTGGGTGTTTATTATTGCGGAAGACTATTTAAGACGTAGAAGGAAGTTGTAACAAACCTTCAGCAGAATTGTAGCAATGCTGGTCCAATCCAACAACTTGTCATCAGGATGTGTTCGCACTGCTTGTTCCCAGCTTGTTGACAATTTGCTACAAGGATGTTGAGCCCAACTTGTTACACGTTGTCCCAACAACTTGTTATCGTCCTGTAATTCAACAAATTGTCGACAAGTTGTGAGTGACAACCTTGTAGCAACTTGACAAAATAACAGCGTTGTTATAACTTGTTGACAAGCTTTCCATACCTCGTTCCATACAAGCCTGTTGCGAACACATCTTGTTGACAAGTTGTGAGATTTTTACGTGTGTAAGATCGACACTCAAATAAAGTTCTAATCATCGTCATCATTTTAGAACTCAGCAAAAGTATGGAATTAATTCTGTAGCTCATATCTACTTACCATATCAAAAATACCCATCCCATATAGAAGGCAACATCTCACGAATAGCCGTCTTGATTTCAGTAGAACACACATTGTATTTCGCTCTGCCTGTACGTTCTCACGGTTCTGATGCAAATACATGCAATAATGCAGCTTTTATACTGAGGTTTTAAAGCCTAACAAGTTCTTTTAGATTGATTTTTTTTTATACACACTAAAGACAAAATGAAAATGTTCCAAAGCTGCTCTTTTATGAAAAACAAAGAATATTCTTCTTCATCGAATCTTTCATGTCATGAGTCAACTTATTAAAATTTGAAAGTAAATACCACTGGGACTTTTTTCTGAATAATTTCTCTCTATAATGCCGTACAGATATAATGTTTCACTGAGCACAATTGACCATTTGCGTAATAGACTAAATTTTGAACTAAACAAGTCTAGACAAAAATTTCATCACAGCTTGAAGGAGCATCACAAAATTAGTAATATTCCAAAGTTTCGTTGCGAAATGTTGTAAAATGCGGAAAATATAGCCTTGCGAAATTTGCAATTTTCAGTCATTTTAGATTACAAACGGGAAATTGACAGCCCCAAACCCTTCGAGGCTGTCAATTTCCGGTTTGTAATCTAAAATGACTGAAAATTGCAAATTTCGCAAGGCTATATTTTCCGCATTTTACAACATTTTGCAACGAAACTTTGGAATATTACTAATTTTTGTGATGCTCTTTCAAGCTGTAATGAAATTTTTGTTGAGATCAAAATTTAATCTGTTACGCAAATGGTCAATTGCGCAGCAGATGCATCAAATAGATAAAATTGATAGATGTATAGTTTAATTTTCTTGGTAAATATTTGAGATTAAAGTATAAATCACAAACATCAAACTCAAATTTCCAATAAGGCCTTGCGTTAAGCATGGAATAGACATCGATTGATGTTCATACTTTAGTAAAAAAAATTCAAATGCATGCAATTTCGGGAGATGTATATTGATGTGCGTATGGGTAAGCTTCGTGGCGCAGAAAGTCTAATCATCTACTGATGTAAATGTAATGATAACACTTTCTTCTCAATTATTTTAAGACTTTGAGTAGAGGTCCGACCAAGGATTGAAGCCAGGTCTCCCAGCTTGAAAGGCAAGCGTGATGACCACGACACAAATGCTGGTCTGTAGAAAGAAACATGAGAAAATTGATCATTTTTGGACCACTTGAATCCAACACGCGATATTACATATCATAAATAATCAAACTACCCTCCCCCCTGGACTATCAGGGCAAATCGTCGATCCTTTGCCAAAAGAGAAACATTGTTCAGAGGGAGAGGGGCGGGGCAATGGTATAGCTATCCCTTTGACAATTTTACCTGAAAAAGAGGAACTACGTAAATTAAAATTTTAGTTATATTTTTATAATACAGCGATCCCTCCTCGCTAAATATAGTATATATCTCCATATTTTGTAGATTTTCAAAGAGCATTCCTATGTAAAGGACAACTAAAGTGCATTTATAGCAACAGGTTGCAAAGAGGTAAGATAATTATCACATTTTTTTAATGAAATAAATTCCTATCTTTTGTTCCAGAAATTTTCACACGTTCCCCTAGGGACTTGCTATCGTTAAGCTTAAAATAACACTTGTTTGGTTTTCTTGGTTAATGGTTTCCTAGTTATTTATCTTTGATATTTTGGTTAATAAAGTGAAGAACTCCCAGGCACCTGCAGTCCATAAAATGTAACCGCATACATTCTGGTTTCTGAGCATGATTTCCATAAAAGCATTGGGCAAATTGTAAATATAAGTTGGACAAAGAGATGGGGGGATTACGAAATGTAGAAACAAGAAATATGATGAGGTAAAAGATAATAGTCGACAATGCAAGAAATATGTTAGGTTTCCAAAAATTATAATCCCTTAGTTGGAAATTTTTCCAACTATAAGCCCTTTTAAGCCCTAAGAATTTTACATGGAATAATTTCATTGATAAATCGGGTAAAATGCAAAAATGTCGAAAGGATGTTTCTGTGCCTGAGGTACTAAATTCCAATCAATCCATCTCATACAGAAAGCTATTTGTTCAATTATACCCTTGTCCATGGCATCATCAGTCACGATAGAAACACATTTTGGATCTTAAATGTTTCCTACTATTGTGCACGAAAACGTCATTAAATCTGGAAATAGATTTTAATTTCATTCTGGAAAAGTAATCTAAGAGTATTGCACATACAAACATATTTTATACAACGTATCTACGAACGAATTCGATTAATGCTGCATTTCGTGACCAATTATCTTCAAAATCAGTTTTCAGGCTAGCAATCATTTCTAATTACAATTAACCAAAGTGTTTTGAAAATAAACTAAATACCTTCGGAATTATAGTAATTTGCATCGCTTTCGATTTTGTGAGGAGAATTCCGACCTGCCCACCTGTGTACTTATTGTGATATTATACACTATAAAAACAAATTGGTTAAAATAGCCCATTAATTGGTTCCCTCAAGTTCAAAATGAAACTAAGACAATCAGTTTATGGGTTATTTAACCTGTTTGTTTTTCCAATCAATCTTAGTTATATTTTCTATCAACCGAAATAGAAACACATTTAAATATCATCTTTAGAGGTTAAACAACCACTATATATTCTGGTACATACTACATAATTTCTCGTTTCCTGGAGATTGACATTATGACGCACGTTACAACCATTATGTTGAAGGGTCTTGTATAGATGGAAACTTCGAGTTTGAATTTTCATACATTTATTAGACTTAACCAGGAGTGTAACTGTCAAAAATGCAACCATACAGGCGCTCTGACAGGAATCGAACCTGTGAACTAAGAACCAGCCATTCAGATTTTGCTGGCAAATATTGTCAGTCCACGATGTTAGCATTTTATGATGTAACAATAGCGTGGGCCTCAAGTCGTCTCCTTATACATGGTATAGAAGTACTTTCCTCCAAAATCTTTCGTAAAAATGATTTAAAACTGGCTTTCTGAAAAACCTGATGATATATAGAACATGTTGTCTTTTAAATGAATTTATTCAAATGCTTTGGCAGTGGCTATACCACTTAGAAGAATTCTGTATTCCAGCTGTAGCCTGTTTCGAAAGCTGAAGGTTATGGCTTGAAATGTCAGATTTGTAGAACTATATAGCACACTTTTCAATCCTCTTATTAATTCTAACCGTATTATCTACATGATCTGCAAGGGGTTTATTTTGGCACTATCTAATCCAAGTGTTCTTTTAAACGTTTACTTAAGTATAGCTATTCCAGTATATAGTCCGTTCTATTTGTGACTTTGAAATGGCATGTATACGTGCATGGTCCCTGATCCATGACTGTCCTTGCCAGAGGCCGTAAACTTTAGTAATAGTAGTTTTAAATTTGTTTAAATTCGGTTTGGGAAGGCACCTGGCATGGTTCTTCGGGTCCCCTTTGTACCTCGGGTCCATATTTTGTTTTGGTTTTAGGTGAATTTTGTTCATATTTTCACGTTCTTTGTAAATGTAATTCAACTAACCCTAATACGGATTATGATAAATGAAATGCTAGTTTGTGGAAAATGTATTTTACCATTGTAAAAAGAGCCTGGACGACATTTGTACTTTTGTACTATAATATTCTACTATTCATTTCTACATCGTCATACAGTCATGCACAAGTCTGTGATGCATAATCATCATATCTGCATACAGCCGTTCATATTAAGGTTGCATCGAATTAAGTGTTATGCCACAAACACAAACACTTTAGTCTGTAAATGGAGGTAGGTCGCGCCGGAGAGGGGTAGTCAGCTGTCTTCCAGTTAGGGTGAAGGTATCAATGCACGATTAGGGCTGATCCTGGGGTTAGGGCGTGGGGTGAGGGTCAGGTATTCACAACAAAAAGTGCGCCTGTATGATGATATACATCTGATAGAAAGTAAGCGACTGTGCTTCATGCATCTCATTTTGATGACGTCGTTAAGACTCCCCCATCACCATAAAACCAGAAGTTTTTGCCTTGGTAACATGCAGTGGACGTGGAAGGAAGCCAATAAGTGCTAGAACATTACTAGCATCAATAATATGACAGGAAGTAAACAGCTCATAATGGTCCTAATTATACCTTGTAGGCAGTCATAGCTGCCTCAGGATTGGCTAAATTCTGAATCGGTCAATTGTGAAGTCAACTTAAGTGAACCCCACGTTGGACAGCAATAAAAATAGACCAGTGGTCGTTAGGAGAGTTTAACATCCAACTTGATATTAGACGGAATGCCGAACTTGAACACTGGTTAAAAATAAAATCAAGGAAACTCAAGAATTACCAAAAAGTCGGTATAGCTGCTGCTGTTGGAAAGAGGATTGAAGTCAAAAGGAACAGAATTACAGTGATATTTTAGATTATAGTTTGTATCTGAAGAGACCAGGTTGAATTGATAAACAATATTATAATACCAGGATTGATAAACCTGGCTGGGAACTCATTTTGGAACTCAGGAGTCTAAAACTAAAAGGAAAGAAGAAATATTCTTGCAATAAGAAGCTGTTAAAGTTATAACTTGTCAGGATCTACAAACCTCTCAAGCACAAAGGAAGCAGTTGTATATTATTAAAAAAAAAAAGTTTGGGCGTTAAGAGACTTTGGCTTTTGGCAGTCAAGTATACTCGAAGAATAAGAAAAGATTGCCAAATTGAACCTCGACGCAAGCGTTCGCTGAATAATTGGCGAAAGAAACTTAATCAAACAAAAACAATTGAAATTAACGATTAAATTTAAAGCTTTAAACAAAAGAGCTTAGAATTTAAAAACTCGTAGGAGGACAAAACATTGCATAATCATAACAGAACACTGTTAACAGGAACCTATACGATCTTTCGTAGGGCAAGCATCGTAAATTCATCTTCGCGGGATTGTTACTTATACACTGAAGAAGCTACGAAGCTGATAATCTGTGGATCTTTAGTACTTCACTCAGAAATGGCAGAAAGAATTGAGTCACGGAGCGATATACTATCAAGCACGGAGTTGAACGATGTCATTTCTAAAACGGTTAACCATGTTATAAACGAAACGGCGGAGCTAACCAACGAAGCACCAAGCTCGAGTAAGCGTCGAAAACAAAACGACAATCAAGTTCGTCGTCCTATGAATGCGTTCATGGTGTATGCCCAGGTTGCGCGGAAGAAAGTAGCGGGAAAGTATCCGAATTTAAGTTATCGAAAGCTGAGCAAAACTCTCGGCGAGTTGTGGCGAATGTTAGACGACGAGGAGCGAAGACCTTTTGTCGAGGAAGCCGAAAGGCTACGTCGCGAACACAAAAGAGCACATCCTACATACAAGTTTAAACCGCAACGGCGACGAAAGAAAGCTGAGAAGCAAAGCGAGGGAGAGAGCTCCGCTTTCGCTGGCAATGCGAGCATCATGAATAGCACCCAATGTGGTCCAATGCTCCACGGTAGAAATTTCACGACTCACGATGATTTCAACACCGCTGGGGACCTGTTACACTCGCCCTATCTTCCCCGAAACGAATCCGCGAACTCTGTATCGACCATTTGGCCATTTATACAAAACAACTCATCTGAGCATTATTTTAATTCCAATATCGCTGACACTACAAGAGGATTCCCTAGCGTATCAACAATTACGGCGAATAGCAGTGTTAATTTTCCTAATCAAAGGCAGTACTTTGATCCTATGGATCATGCAAAGATGTCAGGACATCCAGGAAGGCCGAATTCGTATTCCCAGTTCGATCCTATGGACCAAAAGTTATCAAGACAACATGATTTGGGGCGGGCAAATTGTTCCCAAAATAATTCAGTCGTTAGTCTTGTAACACCGGAACAACCGAGTGACTTCAGCACTACAAAATTCCTTAATGCGGGCCCTTCAAATAACGTGTGTTTTTCCGAAAGCTATCCACATGCGTCTTCAGTTGATAATCTACCATACGCTGGGGAGACGTATGGCCTGGGGAATCGTGGTTTATCGCCGTTTTCGCGTTCGACACCTGTTATAACTAGCACGAATGTCCTCCCGCAAGCTATGAGCAGTCCTTATAGCAGAAACATGTTTACTGATCTTAGCGCTAGGCCGACACGAAATGAACCCATTCTTAACTTTATGGAACATATGTGATGTATTTTGTTGACGATAATTTAATTTAAGTTTAAACTAACAAATCTAGACGCGCACAAAATTCTACAATTGTACAGTACCGATTGTTTGATAGTAATTTCAATGTAGAAATATCTTTAAGTATATGGTATATTTTTATACCTTACACAGTGGTGGAGTTTTTATTATAGGTAATGTTAGTGTTTTACATAGTTAAACCGATCTGTATAGAAATTAAATTTGTTTGGTATAACAAGATTGATATATTGTGCATTTGACTTCATATAAGCTTGTACAGTATATGGATATTTTATAGTAATTTTTATACAGAAATATTTTTAAGCTATGTCTAGTTTATACGTTATAGCCATAGGATTTTGCTTTCATTATAGAAATTAAAGTGTTCTAATGAGATTTTAAGAGCAAAATCTTACGAGCTACTAGATTAAAAATCAAACGTCCATGACGGAAAACAACTTAGAAATTTTATATAAAAGTTACAAAGTATGGGGCAAATCAAATAAGCAAATGGTTTGAAATGGTTTGAAATGTTCAACGTTTAGATATGGGACCAATTTGAAACGTTCAAAGCTATCGTGACATGAAATTCTGTCACGTGACACTTAAACTGATCATTTTATAGTTGAGTAGAAAAATAAATCACTTTATGACATTAAGTTGAATGTCACGCGACTGTCTTGATTTCAAATCATTCGTAAAATGCATTGAAAATGCATTGGTCGAGAACTCTTTCGGCTCTTTTGTTAGATAAAGTAGTTGTAAAGATAATATGAATTTTTGCCAACTATTTTTTCTCATTCAAGTATGTTTCAGAAGTGCCCTCAAATTATCTTCATATATATATATACATATTAATTCGGGCAAAACAGAGTGCAGAAAAACATCCTCATTTTATAAGATTTCGGTCCACAACCCACTGAGTTTTCTCGTGTCATTCCTAAAGGCTCATTTCCACTGTTGCGTTTTTCGTACGCACGTATACACGCAGGTAAAACTTTGAATCCTTCTATTTTTTAAATATTTTACAAATAAGTTAACAAATGCATACTAAAACTTGCGGAACACTAAATTCTGTTGCTTTATTTATTTGGTTATTTCATAAGTAACATTTAAACGGATTTAAAGTTTTACGTGCGTATACGTACGTATGAAAAACGCAACAGTGAGAATCAGCCTTCATAACAATCCTTGCTGGCTGAATGGCAAAACTTGTATCCGCATTCCTGACTAAATACAGCATACATGCAATTCGGTCACTAACATCGCGAACGCAACAATGAAGTTATTGATTATTTGGTGTAGAGAAGACGTTTTACCTTTGCAAATGTGGGGTCCAGTGTATGTAGTATTCTACAATAAGCTGTCGTGGTTTGTGTCTGAACTACCTGACAACTATATATCTCAAACGTGGTGGTCCAGTGTAGGTAGTATTCTACAATAAGCTCCTGTGGTTTGTGTCTGAACTACCTATAAGAAAGATATCTCAAACGTGGTGGTCCAGTGTAGGTAATATTCTACAATAAGCTGTCGTGGTTTGTGTCTGAATTACCTGAAAAATATCCAGGTTACAAAAAACTATACACTAACTGTCGGAAGGCTTAACTCAGAATATCGAAGACGAAATATGCTTTTAAAATCTGCTTCTACAGGTATAGTTTAGACACAAAACCATGCACGGTAGAATGCATATAATCGAATATAGCCATGATTATCTGAAATTGGTTTAATTAATTATTTGAGAAAGATGACGCATTTCGCTTAAATAAGGAAACAATTTTGTACTTACCAATAATTAACCTCGTAATTCTCCAAGATTTCTGCATGGATTGCGTGCATGCAGCTATAATGAAGTATGTCAATGAAACTGGAATGAATAAATGGACATAATTGGCATAATTCTCCTCCTTTTAAGTCCAGTAATTATACCTTCTTGTGTGCTATTTTATATGATGGCGTGTTTTCAATATATTTATATAAAATAAATGATATATTGCAAGGAGTCCACTTATCCCCTGTTGTCGAACGCTGTTAAATTCAGAGTATACAAATGCATATATCGTGTATCTTTTATACATGTTTTTTTGTCATTTAAGGAGTATAGATGTCTGATCGTATAATTAATACCACATTTTTAAAAAAGAAAAATCTTAGGACTTAGGAAATTATGATACTTGAAGTTTAAAAGAATTCTAATTGCTGTTAAAAATTCACAAATGGGCTATATAGTCTCTTAGAGAACGCTTTGTAAATGAAACAGAACTGTTTTTTTACAACTTCCTTTTACAAAAGGTTGTTTGAGGTATGACAGTTTTAGGATTTTGTATAACAAGTTAGCATACTTGGAGTTTGAAAGAACATTTCTAATCGCTGTTCAGAAGCACAAATAGACCTATAGTCTTTCAGAAAACGCTTTAAAAGTTACAGAACCCGTTTTTTTACAACTTCCTTTTACAAAAGGTTGTTTGAGGTATGACAGTTGTAGGATTTTGTAAAACAAGTTAGCATACTTGAAGTTTGAAAGAACATTTCTAATCGCTGTTCGGAATGCGAAAATGCTTTAAAAGTACCAAAGCATTTTTTTACAACTTCCTTTCGGAAGAACTGTTTGAGATACGACTGTTTTGAGTTTAAACAAGCTGCGTAATCGATTAGGAAACAAATATTAAATTGAATGTAATCGAAGGTTAATTCGCGTGGTAAAAAGTTGAAAACAAGGGCTTAGCAGCTATTTTTGCCTGCTGTTATAATGATACGGTCGTTGCATCCGCAATTGAACTAAACATGCTTTAATAACAGTAATTAGTCGTTAAGGATATACTGGCCATATCAAAGGGTAAAGACAATTTGATGTTAATTGTGATAACTATTACGTAATTTAGATAACTGGAATGTGGGCTGAATCAGCGTATAAGAGGGCGTGGCCTAGTTTGGATTCTAATTTAAGACTTCTGTTTACGACACTGATCTGGAAAATGCACTGGATAGTGCATTTTCTATGCCGGCAGAAATGAAGCCAGTGGCGACCAAATTATTGTTGATGTGGCCACCAGAAATCTACCGTGGTATTGCTGACAGGCCCTTGTTGTTTCTTGTTACTGGTGGGAAAGGATAGATATTGTTTGGAATTTTGCCATGATTGTAGCTATCATCTAAACCTGGAGTAAATGGCCATGAACCCCCAAATATTAAGACTAAAATGGCAATTGAGCCAATTTTGAAAGATATTGGTGCAGGATCTGCCTAGTCATCACGAGTTCGTTTTCAGGATCCACTCTTGCCCCCAGGCTACTAGTTTTGGTTCGCTTAGCGGTTCCTACATCCCTATGCGAACATCTCCAATCAACCTCCACAGAAATAAAATCTGCAGTCATGGTTTCAACATTGTAGCATGATGTTGAGCCAACTTTTTTGGGTCCGTTTTGGCTTTTACACAGCATTTGCTTCGTGACGTCATGAAGTCGATTAACCTGCAAAGCAAGTGCCACCTGTCGAATAAAGGCCCTAGATCTTAGGTTAGCCAAGAACCAACAAAATGAATTGAATGCTACTCCAAAAATCATGAACATTCGGTGCCCGTGTGGATAGCGACGATAACAAGACAGCTGTGGATTGGGAGGGATAAAATTACCTACGATAACAAGACAGCTGTGGATTGGGAGGGATAAAATTACCTACGATAACAAGATGACTGTGGATTTGGAGGGATAAAGTTACCTAAAAAATACAAGCAGAACTTCAACGTTTCGAGCGAAGGCCCCTCGTCGGGAAATTATTTTCACTCGGTGACAGAGCATTTGTAACCTCCGCTCCAAAAATCTGGAATGAATTACCTATGTATTAGAAATCTGCATAACTTTAGTATTTTCAAGAAATTAGTTAAAAGTTATTATTTTGAAGAAGCCTTTAATGTAAATAGTTCATGTAACATATAATCTATATAATCTTCTTTATATTTTTAGTTAGTAACCATTCAGCATAGAATAATTTTAGTGTAATTATGTTTTGTGATGCGCATTTGATCATATACTACAACATGTTAATTTGCGCAATATAAATATTAAATATTATTATTAATATTAGGGAGTTTACGATTTACGACGCGCCTGCTCGACGACGCGCTTTCAAAACAAAGAAATTTGTCATGCGAGACAAAATGTGTTAAGAATTCGTGGTCCTAGGGGTATGAACCGCGTTGTCATTCTCAACACAACGTTAAACAAGCATTATTACGTCTTTCAGTCAACGTGAAAGCTTAATGCGACCCAAGAGGTGTTACTTAAAGTGGAAATTACAGCAAACATTGCATCGCTTTAGCCGAACGTAGCAGTTTGTAAGGTTATTTGAAAAAGCGTCAAATATTTAATACAGTAATCAAATTGCTTAGCGCTCATTCTTGAGCTGAAATTTAGACCGCGTCGTTGAGCCGGTCGCGTCGTAGATCGTAAACTCCTTAGTATAGCAGAAACAAAGGGCCTTCGCTCGAAACATCGAAATTCTGCTTGTATTTTTCTGGTAGTTCCATATCCTTCACACTGCAGCTTTTAAAACCATGTTTTGATATAAAACACCTTCAAGGTAGTAAATTTCGAACATCTTCATCCGTGGTGGTTACCAGGTACACAGCGAATAATTTGTCGTTAGGGCGGGGGATAATCAGATTTTTTTAACTTACATTTTACGATTTTTTTAAACTACAAGTCAGATTTTTTTTAAATTACATTTTACGTTACCTAAAAGGTAACCGTTACCTAAAACGTCCACGTTTTCATATTTCCCCCATTTCACAAGGGAATAGAGGGTCTAATTACCTGGAACAATACGAAAACGGATTAGCCATAGTGTGGTCGTAGCCTAAATGTCGTGTTTTCATTAGTAAGTTCAAGTAGCGGGGTTTTCTTTGGGAAGAATATATTAGCACAATTGAATACAGGGCTAAATCTGCTAGGGGGTTTCAAGGGAATACTCAGTCCTCCGAGAAAATTTTGAAGATTTACACCCCAGAAAGCCCGGAAGTGCAACAAAAAGTTGGCTTTCTTAGCTTGCATTCACCCTTAGCTTCAATGCTCCTATAATTTAGCTGAAAATCAACTAAAATCACCTTGAAGTTGAAATTTACCTGAAATTACTAATGAATAAATATTTTTAAGGGTAGAGGAAGGGTGTTACAACTTCTACGCCACCCCTGTGGCTACAGTTCTCTTTCCTAAGACATCATTTTGATCAATACTCATTAGTCTCAGCTATAAAATTTGCATACCTATTGGATTGATAAGATTTCGATAATTCTTCAATATTGCTTGCATATTTTGCTAACTTTATCTATTTATTTTAAGAGATAATGTAAAATGTTGCTAATATACTGTAGTAACTTTAATTTAAAGTAAAAGGATGTAAAATTCATGCGTGGTTAAAAGCAGGAAAAGTCCAATTTAAAATATTGAACAAAATCAAACGTGCAGGAATTGAGATTCTAGGGCTTGCCTTCTTAACTCAATGATGAAACATTGAAGTACCTTCAACTTGGTACGTATTTCCCTACAAAGGATCTTTATTCCTCTCTTCAACTGCTTAACACGAAAGAGAACATGTCTATAGTTATCACTTTAGTTTACAATTTATGAGGAGCCTTGATGTCTATCACTGTGAAGCACATTGCCATGGCAATATAGATAATTTGACTTTGTTAGTAAAGTCTGATTAAGTTTTTAATTGTATATTAGCTAACTGTTGTAATTGCGCTGCCCAAGCGAAGTTGGGCATCGTTTTATATTCGCTGCGTGAGTTTGTTAGTTTGTTAGTTTGTTCGGAATCATAAGCCTTGGTATTATTAAAACAATATGTCTTTGAAATACATGTCTCTAAAAAAATATATGTCTCTAAAAAATATTCTACCAAACACCACAGATTTTCCCAACACTTCGATTTCCCCAACACTTCGATTTCCCCGTGTACACTTGATAAATGTTCCTTACTGGACCTCTAGGAAGAACATTGTAGAACTGATGGAGTTAATCAGTATGGATAAAATAGTTTTGTTTAGGTAGTTTTGTTTAGGTTTCCTCTTGTAGCAGTGGACAAAGGGATGGCCCTTCTTAGTTTGATCCCTAGAGCCAGTACAGTTATAAGAACTGATATAAGTTATCCAGTATAAATGAAGTCAGTTTAGTTAAGGTTCCTTCTGTAATAACAATGGCCCAATAAAAGATTAAGCAGAAACTCGACGTTTCGAGCGAAGGCCCTTCGTCAAGGTTTAGTAGCCAATAAAAGATTGCCTTTGCTGGACCTATAGTCTAGGTAGAACAGTTCAGAACTGATAGAGCAACCCAGTATAAATAAGTTCAGTCTTGATTTATTTCTGTGGTGTAATACTGAAACAATATGGCTTTTACTGTACAGTCGGACCTTTATTCGATGAACAGTTTCTATAGGCCTGGTGGATCAATATATTTAGTGTAGGCTGGAGTCTGTAGTAACACTGGACCAATAAGGAATTTCCCTAAATGGAATTCTGAGAAGAACAGTTTAGAATTATTGATAGAGCTATCTATTATAAAAATAAAACCATATAGTTAGTTCAATTTATATGGCAAACACATGAGCTACAATTTACATCATATATAAGTTATATATGACCACCTTTTTTAAACATTACTTAAGTGAACTTACTCTAAGAAGATTGGGAACGCCTAAAACCTACGCTCTCCTTATACAAATATTAAATATTGCACCTGTGAGCAAATCACCTCTGCTACATCAAACTACAAACAGTGCGTTACTATTAAAACATGAAATATTGCTATTATTTCCTTTATTAATTATCTTAGTAATCGCCGTGATTTTTGTGTGAACTACATAAAAAAAGAAGATTTAGCGCTTTGAGGGCTTACAGAACTGTCGAAGAAACAGTTTGGACCCGTTGTAATTCATTTAATGCTGTCCCAATGTTCCTGCCAATTTTTTAATATTATTTTTTGTTTTAATTAATGTAATTTTTCTTCATTGTTTTGTAATCTATATGCATATGTAATTGGCGAAGCTATTAAAATTAAAAACTAAAACAATTTTCCAGGTAGTTGTAACGAAATATAGAATACAAATTACAGGCACTGGACCACCATGTTTTGTGTAGCATAATATACGTTCTCTAATAAGTTTGTGATAAACAAAAGTCATTATTATCAAATATATATATATAGATTATCCATCGGGCTATAGAAAGTCGATTCAAAAACTAAAGGCTGGCTTTATAGGGTATACACATGTATGGTTCTTCCTTCTACGATTTACAAATCAAAAGAAATGTGCACGTGTGAATTTGTCGTGGGGTGCCTCAAGGATCGAACCTTGGTCCGCTTTGATTTTTAGCTCATGATACAGTTAAGAAATATCGGAACATTTATACAATGCTTTGTAATTTTTGTTCATATTTTTATTCATTTTATATGCATGCGCATCTCTACATTTCCGCAAAATCCTATTAATTTGATTAGAATTTGTTTAGAATTTCTATCTTTTAATAGGCTAAAATCATTTTTTTGATTCCTAACAATTATTTTCTTGTGAAATTGTTTTAACTTTCTGTATACTTTTGGGTCTTTATATGAAATAAGTAGCCGTGGTTTCTATCTAATCTACCTGAAACGGTTATTCAGTAGTTTGTTTGGAAGACATACTATATATTATAGAATATGTACTCAACCCCCTTGGTGTCTTTTTCACGGGTAGTTTGGGCACACACCAAGGTGGCTTTTTGTAGAATACTGCCTAATATATTGATTGCAAAACTCATATTGTATAGTTTGATTGCAAATAAACATCAATTTCAATTTATTAATATTCATTTTTTTTCTTCCCTATATAACATAGACTATCTTAGCTACTTTCTACTTATATTCCTCTAATCGTAGGAATCTTTTCTTTTGAAAGGACGAAATAGTGTTTTTAGCATATACAGTCTTATATTCTTTGTACATGTCAATGTTGTTCCAATTTAATTGGTCTAGGTATTCTTAAATCTTGTTAAAAATATAGTTCAGTTGCTCTTCTTTATACTTTACATAAATGTTCTTCGGATTGTCTTTGCTATTTTATACTCGGAGGTACAGTTCACCCCTAGTTCGGCTTGCGGACGTTACAGGCACAAGTCTGTCAACTGGTGTAGGGTAACCAGCCTGGTGATGCTGATCTTCAAACAATCCCGCTGTTGTCTTCTGGAACAAACTGGTAGGGAAATACGGTAGACCTTTCGCGAACTCTGGACGAGCTACGCTGGCCAGTGGCCTTTGAAGAAGGTTATATTGATTGATCAAACGAGGCGAAGTATCTCGTAGGCTTGTTGCAGGGATGCCTGATGTAAGGTTCTTTGTTGTGTCCTCTAGTCTCAGGCTCCCGCGTTGCGCTGCTTCCGTTAAAAGACTGGAGAAGAGCTTGTTGTTGTCTAAACTATCCGAGGTGGTTAGGTACTGATTCATTCCTGGGTTGGGTGAAAATTCGGGAACCGTACGATAAGACTCTGGTTTGACGGCCATGGGTAGAGACACCCCGTAGTTCCAGGCTGGGGTGGGGAAACGGGGATCGATGCTTTGCTTCGTTCGCAATTGCTCGCCAACCTTTCGTGAAAGATCATGCGTCATCGGAAGACTCCGTGGCGTGCTCGTGCTCTCTTCAGAGTCGCTTCGTGTTTTCTTGGCTTTCTTTTTCGGTTGGTATTTATAATCGGGATGCTCAGAGCGATGTTTTCGACGCAATCTTTCGGCTTCTTCGATAAACGGCTGCTTTTCCTTCTCGTCCAACATTTTCCAAAGCTGACCCAGGATTTTACTTAACTTTCTGTAGCTGAGGTTAGGGTACTGTAATGCCAATTCTTTGCGCGCTGCCCGAGCATAGACCATGAACGCGTTCATAGGACGCTTTACATGATCCGTCCCTTGATCACGCGCATAACCGCTGCCCTCTAACGGTGCGTGTTGAAGGCTCAAGTCCGTCTTCTCGATAACTTGGTTGACCGTTTTGGAAATTGCTGCGTGAAGTTTAGAGTTTGTTACGAGCGTCTCGGAGTATGTCTGAGCTAGGCTTTGCTTTTCGTCCATGGTTTGCCCTTCTGTCTGTATTTTCTGAGCTTTCTAGTTCCTCGTTGGCTTCGTTTTACAGTTTCTTGCCAAGTACGCAATTCGGTTTCGATGTGTTTGTTAGCTTTCCGTCGTTCGCTTCAGATATTTTCGTGTTTCTTGTACGAATATTCCCAACAAATTTATAAACTTTGTGTATGTGGTTTTCTCATTCAACAAAGCGAGTGTCTCACTCGGCTGGCTTCTATCGCGTGTTTAACGGTATAGGTCCGGAAAACCGCCCTTTATCACCTTCAAAATATTTGCATTCGATCAAATGGAGCCCTGTGATTGGCCGAACGAGCGGAAGTCGTTGAACATCGTGGAAGCTGCCAAAGAGCAACCAAGACAACTGGCTAAAAATACTTGAGTGCTTTGTTGTGTCATGAATTTTTGCCCTTACAGGTAGCCATGCGAGCTTTTTTATATACATTTTAAGAAAGTTTTAATATCTAAAAGTTTTGAAACACTTCATTAAGCTTTTATTGCCTTTTGTTTCAATAAATCTACGAAATTTGGTTCATTTTCGGAAGCGTACGTTTCATTTTGCGCCTAAAGTCATTTGTATCAAGAATCACAAATTGGCAAAGTTTCGATATTGTATCAAATACCAATCTTCAATATTATGTATCAATTAGTAAATTAAGAATTATAAACTATATATTGTAGACTAAAAACGTTTATTTATTTTTGTATAATTTTTAATGATAGCCATTTCAAGGTCAAACAAAGGTCTAATAACACGTTGTATCTCATTGACAGAAAGGAATGCTTTGTTTTCTTTATTCATTTGAACAGCAGATGCGTCTGTATTGGACAAAGGACATTCTTTCAATGCGCTGGCAACAATCTTTCCGCCATTTGCTAAGTGATGATGAAACAACGTAATAATTCTTCATATATCAGTAATACTCCTAATATAAACTTAAATTAACATAAAATGCTTCAAGAATATTTTTGAACCAAAATTCTCCCACTGCATACCGATGTCAAAATTATACTATTCATCTTCTAATTGATTTAGTGTGTGCTAAAACCTTCTGACGTTTCGTGTATCGAGGTCCTTGGGTTGCAACAAAATTCTTTCTAACGCTGTAGGCCCAATATCACATTTTTCTAAGCTTCTCTTTGCGTCTTTGTGGTAAAGTTTTAAGCTTTTCAAGTGTAAGCCAAGTTATCCTGACCACCTTAATGCTACATGCATGCATGTACTTCGTGTGGAAATGGCGATTATTTTTACATGCTCGCATGTGTAAATCCAAGCTGTGTGATTTGGCTGGTTATCTACTGGTATTTGTTGGTTTTATAGTTTAAAAATGAAGACATATAAAGCAATGTAACAATATTCACACGACCTCTTAGAACCCACACAAAGAATGACATATTTTCTACTCCGCCTTTTCTCTTTTTCTTCCAAACGTTGCCTAGAAAGAGCTATGAATCTTTATATCGCTCTTTAAACACTTACTGTGTGTTAGTGTATCTTTAGAAAGTAATCTATGGTGATACACTGACCCGTCTTTGTTCTGAGGTGGTTTACAAAGAAGGGATCTTTGTATGCAGTTTGTACAAATATATCAATTGATTTTAAACACGAAATGTATGATACTGTACACAGATCTGCTCAAATTAATTAAATCTGCTCAAATTTGGAACAGTCTGCCATCTGATTTGAAAGCCAGTAACTGTTTTTCTTTGCGGTTTAAATCGAAAGTTACATTCATTTCTATCTAACTAAATTATTTACATATATATAGTCCCCAAGCCAGGGGACTTGCAATGCCTGCTTGTAATTCAATATAACCTAACAATGCCTGTTTGTAATTCATTATAACCTAACTACTAACTGTAATTATTTTTAATGTGTGGGTAAATATCATGTTTTGGGGCATCTCAACTGATATAATTAAATGTTATGTTGTTGGGCATCTAAGTCGATATAACCAATTGAAGGTTCTATTCCTGCCAGAGCACCTATAGTTGTATTTTTCACAACTTCTCCTGGTTAGATCGTAGAAATGTATTAAAATCACACACGAAATGTCCAGCTATATACGCATCCCTTGAATCACTTTTTTATTGTATCCTTTCACTGTAAAAGGATTGGGTGACAATTGGGACTATAGCCCTGTAGCTAATTCCTGCTGTTGTATGATTGCTGTCTTGTAATATTGTGGTAAACCTATATTAACCTAAACCATAGATGGTGGTGACTCTGGCTGTTACCAGAGTGAGAAAATAATATAATTTTTAATATAATACAATGTTATTCTCTACATTGTTTGTGGTAGGCTTGTCTACATGTGCAGGCCAATATTAACAGAAATGAGGCATGTCGTTTAATTTGCTTAATTGTATAAGTGTCGTCAGTTTTGTATATAACCACCATCTGCTGGTGTCCAGTAATGCTTATTGAAATCCACCAATAGTACCACAGTTGTCGATACATCTTTGGTTGGATAAAAACTAATCTTTTAACTGCAGTATAGTATAAGGGCCGTTCACATTTGCATTTTTTGCTGCGATTTTAGGTTTCTTCTTCTGATGCATGTGAACGAGTGAATGAGTTATGAATGTTCAGATGAGAGTGCATATACTCAGAACATCCATGACTCATCTACTCGTTCACATCTATCAGAAGACGAAAATCGCACCAGGTCTTCAAGCTCTAGATTAACAAAATAAAAGTGTGATGAATGTTCCAACTTCAATGGAATAGATGATAGTAGATAGATATAAGTTCTTTGTAAGTTTGCATGGCGATAAAACACATAATATTTTGTTTGTGGAAACACCACGTAAGTAGATAGATAACTTTATTTAAACACGCTAACCTCGTCAACTAAAGCTGAACTTCCACGAGAGGCGTGTGAAGAAGAATTATACAGCAAATATGAAAAGTATTTAAAAGCTATTTAGAAAATGTAAGATATAGTATTAAAATAATATATTAAGTATTAATATATAAGATATAGTATATATGAGGTAATAATCTATTTACAGATGCATATATTTGTTTTAACTATGAATGTGAGCAGCGATTTTTGTCCGAAAGGAGGAAAGGAAAGCATTCAGAAGAGCTAACCAAAGTCCTGTGACTGCCAACTCTCATCCACGTTTCAGCCGGGCTTCAGACAATGTCAGCATTTCCGAAGCCACCGCCAGTAACGGCGCCCCAATAACGGTTTACTAACAATAGCACCACATGACATGACATATTATGTACCTATGTCTCGATACGTTTGGATGGATTTCAACGAATAAACTAGAAATGCTTGCTATATATATTTGAGTTGTTGTAAATGGCATACCAAACAGATATTGAATTAAATAGCAGTGACACTTAACTTGTCACTTGTTCTGAGGACCAAATGACATGTACTTGCTTAAGCAGTTGATTAATTTGAACTTGGGGTACAGGCACGTATGGATTTGCAGTAATTTTAATATTATAAAATATCGTTCAAGTGCAGATAAGCTTTCTACTTTTAGTTTAATTGTTTCACATCTACTTTATAAGTCCTTCGCTCTTAGGCGTGTATAAGGCCCGAATCGTGCTCGATATTATCCGAGTCCTGAAGTGTAAAAGAAACTCAACAGATTATAACCAGATTTGTAGAGCTATTATTGGTCGTGAAAAGTAAAGATTTAAAATTTAACTGAATTTAACACCAACAGTAGTATAGTCTTTACTGCATGTTAATTGCATTTTAGCCCAATGGCCTCGTGTTCATGTGCGCCTGTTTTTTGAATTGGCAGGCGAACATGGAGATTATATTCCATTTTCTTTGCACGAAAATTTTTCTCTTCGATCTTGTGCCCAATGATGACAAAATAACTACACGAAAACGAGGCCATTAGCGCAAGAATCCAATAAACAGTGTACAGTCTGTTGGACATTGCAGTAATGTTAAGGCTTTGTTATCTAAATAACTGTAAACGTTTTAGCCGACTTGGTTACGTTGGGCAGTATACTGCAGACATTGTAGAAAATAATGACTCACATATTCTACCATTTCCCAGATTCCCAGCGACATTTAGCCTACATTTACATTTAAACGCAGAAGGTTCACAGTCGATTTTTTATAAAAAGGTTATTAAGGACGCAGTGGCCAGCGAGATTTTATGGAAAAGAATTTGCAATCGCTTTTCCAGCTAATTCGTATAGTAATGTATTTAAATTTATACTTGCTTGACATTTGCTCTTACAAATTACACAATTTTGATTGGCCATTTTTTTGGCAAATAATTGGTGGAAATATGTTATTGAGCATGCGCACTTAGATGAGCAATGCAGATACAAATGTATATAAGTAATTTATAGCACTATTAAAATATCACATCAAACATGAAAATAAATAAACAAAGATCTGTATACTTTGTTATATGCATTCATTCTCCACTGATGAACACGACGTGCTTATTCCTTTATCTTAATTCGTTTGGGATTGCTTTGTTGAGCTGCTTGCTTCTCCTTTTAAAATTATTGTAAATGAATATTTCGACTTAGTAGGTTTCACATAATTGTACTATAAGGTATGATCTGAAGTTATACAACTACGTTTTGAGGGAAGTTTGTAGCCACATTTTCCTTGTATTTTTTCATGTATCCCTATCAATTCGAAGCTTTTTTATATATTATTGGCACTACCTATATACACTGACAGTTCAAGATTATCTGTCTTAACATTTCTACATCACCATTTGTGCAATACCGAACATCTAGGTATAAATTACGTCTTTTGTTCAAATGCATCATTTTATACTTAAGTTAATGTGCCAAATTTTTTTATAGTGCATGTATATAAATAGTGTAAATAATAAAGAATATATATTTTGTGTTATGCATGCAATATTATATAACATAGGAAGTTCAATACGATATACCATACACGTGTAAAACACACAAGTTAATGTTACAGGTCTGTAAACAAGTTGTTACAAATCTGTTCACAAGCTATCGACAAGTTGTGTTCGCACTG